AGGCAAAGGACACAGCCATTACACTGAAGAGGAGATGCGAGTGGCAGATAAACACATGAAAACACGTTCAGCGTCATCAGCCATTAAGCAAAACCAAACCCGTTGCCGTAGAGTCGATTCCGATTCGTAGCGACCTTATAGGACGGAGGAGAGCTGCCCCACACGGTTTCCAAGGAGCGCCTGGTGGATTCGAATTGCCGACCTGTTGGTTAGCAGCCGAGCTCTTAACCACTGCACCACCAGGGCTTCTTAAGGAAATGCAAAGTGAAATGACAATGAGACATCGCTGCATACCTATTAGAATGGCTAAAATAAAAAATGACACCACCAAATACTGACAAGGATGCAGACAAACTGGATCACGTACACATTCCTGCTGGGAACATAATATAGTACAGCCACTCTGGAAGACAGCTTGGCCGTGTCTTACAAAATTAAACACGTGATTACCGTATGACCGAGCAATTGAACTCTTGAGCATTTATCCCAGAGAAATAGAAATTTATGTTCATACCAAAACCTGTATACAAATGTTCATGAAAGCTTTATTCTTAATAGCCAAAGTCTGGAAAAGCCCAAATGTCCTTCTGTGGGTGAATGGTTAAACAAACTGGTACATCCATACCGTGGGATACTATTCATCAATAAAGGAACTATTGATTCCTGCATCAATCTCCAGTGAATAATGCTGCGTGAAAAAAAGCTGGTCCCAAAAGGTCACATACTATCTGATTTTATTTATATAACATTTTTGAAATGACAACATTTAGAAATGAAGAACAGACTCATGGTTGCCAGGAGTGGGAGGGCGGAGGGAGAGGTGGATGTGGTTATAAATGACAACAGTGTCTTCACTGTGGTGGTAGATACATAAACCTACGTAAGTGAGAACATTTCCTAGAACTAAATACACACACAAATGAGAACAAGTAAAACTGGGGAAACCTGAACAAGCCAGGTAGATTGTATCAGTGTCACTGTGTTGATTGTGATTATTATCCCATGGTTTTACAAAATGTTACCATTGGAAGAAACTTGGTTAAAATGTTCCTCTCTATTATTTCTTATACCTTCATGTGAATCTACAATTACTTCAGTAAAAATTTCCATTAAAAAATACGCAGACACATAGGCAAGCACAGGGAGCAGAACAATTAAGAAGAAAATACAGGGAAGACCCATTTTTGTTAGGTAAAAATTCCTGAAAATGCCTCACAGATATCCATTTTCACTGAGCAGATTATTTACAGGGAACCTTTTGGGGAGGATGGATGAGAGACAAGATCACATGTTGAGCTTTTTTCCATCAAAAACAGACCTCATCTTCTACCCACAGCCCAACCCTAGAGCAGATGTGTACAGTAGTCCAGTGTGAAGGTGGCAGAGAAACACAGTCTGATCGCCTGCAGAGAAGCTTGGCTCGCCTTCCAGCGTAGCCCTGGGGAGAGGTGCACAGTATGTGACACTCTCGTACCAACAGAAATTGTCTACTCCAGATAGACAAGGTAGAAAGATCATTTGCAGTAAGTTGGGAGTTGCCAACTTTCAGTTTCTGTTCTTTGAAATATTGTGTCTCTTCTGCTTGATGTTGTTGTTGTTAGGTGCCATCGAGTCGATTCCGGCTCACAGCGACCCTGCGTACAACAGAATAAAACACTGCCCCGTCCTGCGCCATCCTCATAATTGTTAGGCTTGAGCCCATTGTTGCAGCCGCTGTGTCAGTCCATCTCCTTGAGGGTCTTCCTCTTTTTCACTGACCCTCTACTTTACCAAGCATGATGTCCTTCTCCAGGGACTGGTCCCTCCTGATAACATGTCCAAAGTATGTGAGATGAAGTCTCGCCAGATTTGTTCATTCTTCTGGCAGTCTGTAATATATTCGGTATTCTTTGCCAGCACCACAGTTCAAAGGCATCAGTTCTTCTTACGTCTTCCTTAATCGTTGTCCAGCTTTCGCACGCATATGAGGCGATTGAAAACACCATGGTTTGGGTCAGGCGCACCGTAATCCTTAAAGTGACATCTTTGCTTTTTAACACTTTAAAGAGACATTTTGCAGCAGACTTGCCCAGTGCAGTGCATCATTGATTTCTTCACTGCTGCTTCCATGGGCGTTGATTGTGGATCCAAGTAAAATGAAATCCTTGATAACTTCAGTCTTTTCTCCGTTTATCATGATGTTGCTTATTGGTCCAGTTGTGAGGATTTTTGTTTTCTTTATGTTGAGGTGTAATCCATACTGAAGGCTGTAGTCTTTGATCTTGATCAGTAAGTGCTTCAAGTCCTCTTCACGTTTAATAGAAGGTGTAAAAATGTGTGGCACTGGTGTTTCCTAGGGACCCCACCTACTCCTGATATGTCTGTGCATGGATTAATAAAATTCAGATGCCCCTGCCAGGCTGCTGGTGAAGTGTGAAATCTCATCATCTAGGGATTG